CGTGTTACGCACGCTCGTCCAGATGTTGCACTCTGCACAGTGCACAGCTCGTGCACTGACGTCAGAGGCCACGAGCGGTGAGCGGGCAGTGTGTCACGGCGCCGAAGTTTGTTTGATGTTTTGTTGCATTGCATTGCACGCTGCCGGCTGCACGGGCGTGTGTGGAGCAAACGTTCTACATTATGTGAGGCAGCGTTACGTGCACTCACATAAGACGAATAATATAGGGGAGACCCGGGAGGTATGGGCCGGTTTTGTGAAAAGGCAATTTTCTTCCAGTGGGCAGTGGCTAGACTCGGTTTTTCACTCTGTGTGCGTGAAATTGCCTTTCGCCTGCAACGCGTGCCTGATATAGGCATCTGGGATCAACTATTTTGTCTCGAGATAACTTTCAATAAATCATGTGTTTTTTTCGATCCATCAAAATGCACCGGGAGGTATGGGCCATGGCCCGGGAGGTATGGGCCGGTGCCATGTTTCATATTATTTTCTCGACAATAAGAATAATACTCGTAGCTGGTATCTACCTTGATCTCTCTTAGAGCCCAGGAACCGCATAAGCGGCCAACAGCTTACTTCATGGAGGTCACTTGGGCCCATATGTATATTGGTAAACTCAAACATGCACCAGGAAATAAAATAAATCATATTTTTCTGTTCAAATGAATTTTGAAGTTAAATTTTCGACCTTGCGTGACAAAAACAAAACTTATTGACGGGGACATTTAATGAAAGCATCTTTTTATTTATTTAGGGTCACCGAGGGTGGGTGGCCCAAACCTCCCGGTTAGGACGCCATAATGTGCGTAGCATCTAAGCTCATAATCTTGCAAGAAAGCTTCATATTGTCTATCCAGTCTTAATTTGCATAATTCAAACTTTATGTTAGCGATGGTCTGACATCATAAAACGAGCCTGGTTCAAATTTATCACGAATTTTCTGTATGTACCGTATTTTACTCGAAGAGGGCAACAACGCTTTATCGCCGCTCATTGCCATAGAAGACTGAGGAAGGTTTTGAAAATCACGTGGGATGAGAATCATGAGATCACTGAATGGCTGCTACCAGTTAACACCGTCAAATGTGTAAAAATGCGCAACACTTCTTCAAAACTGCGATGGCCCATACCTCCAGGGGGCCCATACCTCCCGGGTCTCCCCTACGGCTGTTCTATTGCATTGATATATATTTCGACTTTTAGATTAAGCAGTTTATTTAGCAGCTTTATTATTTAACCTTAGACCGTATCGGCCTACTTACAGCGTCTAGCGTGAGGGAGGGGGGGGGAGGGTTCGTTGGAGACCTGCCGTTCAGCCTCTGATCGAGCTAGCTTCGCGGAAAAAATGAGCGTGCTGCAGGTGACGAGAGGAAGCCGAATATACCCAATTCAAAATCAGCTCCAAAAACTACCTTTGAAACATGCAAAACACGAAAGAGTGCATCAAGGTCATCTAAGGTCAATGACCTTGATCTGACATTCACGTGACCTTAACACCCATCATAATGCATGGGTTGAGCATCATTCCACATGCTGCAACGTTTACAACAACAAAAAGACTGGAAACGCGCGTATAATGTGTGCCGACATACGCCGAATCACGATTCCGGCTAAACTTGGTCTCGAGAAACAGGCCACAGGTAGGTCATTTAGGTCAAGGTCGTGACATTTTTGGGTTAGGTGGAAATTGATTAACTCGAGGGAAATGAAATTTCCGTCGCGGCCGACACTGTTTTACCCTAGCTATTCGCGGAAAAAGCGAGGTAGTACATTCGACCCCCTCTAAATGCGAGGGTTATAAATACAGAGATGAATGTAACACGCATGGGTCATTGGGTAGGATAGCACAAGTTTGTGTAAGTAATGAATCCAAAATAAGCTAAATCGTCGATTTACAGGCAGTGAATACCTGCACTCGCCTGGCGTTCGGCGTCGGGCCGATTCGGTACAGGGTGCTGCTGTGCCGGATGACAGCCGAGCAATGCGGGTCAGTCTACCTGCCCAGGTAAGCTTCACCGCAGAACGGCTAGTACGAGCCAACATATACATACGCAACTGCTGTTCTTGGTGAATGCAGCAAGGGGCAGACATGTGCATTGTGCTTGGATCCAAGTGATGGATCTATAATCTGAGTGGATCTCAAAGCAAACGGGAAACCTAGGACCTCTAATCCCATTAAATCTCACAGAAAATATATTTGGATCTATTATCTCAATAGGATGTGAAGACCAACAAACAACAGGAGGGATCTATGAGGAGGGATAGATAGATCCCTCCCATCAGGAGGGATCTATCTATCTAGTCGATATCACCATTTGCGACCTGATAAGCCATGCTCCCATGAGGGTTCATGTCAATAAGTGTCACAAAACTATGAATTGTGACGTGCAATCACATAATATCCCTGAAACAGAACGACGGCAAAGTGCAAATTGCTACAATTGATTCTTGATTCTGGAATATTTATAAATCATATCGCGAGCAAAAAGTGAACAATGATTTGTGATTTCATCGGATCTCAGACAAAAATACGCTCAGATGCCAGTTTTACCAACAGAAAAATAACCGCCAGCCGGAATTTTTTTGCCTTAAGACCGCCTCACATACAAAGACCGCCTGTAAACGCGATGGACACGTAAGCGGGTAGGGCTTTATCGTTTACGCTCCGTATGTGAAGCGGTCTTTGAGCAAAAAAATTCCGGCAGGCGGCTATCTTTGTGTTGGTATAACTGGCCTCAGGTCTAAGATCCAAATAGATCTCCAGACAAATTAGAGAGCTAGATCCATGATCCCATTCATCTAAGATCAGGATCCGTGGGACCAGATCCCAGTACCATTTTCTCGGATCCGTGCTCATGTCCGAAGAGGGATTCGGTATGAGATAGCGAGAGATAAATCGAAGATCTCTTCATTTGAGGCTGTGATTAGTTACATCAGGTCCCTGATGAATGAGATGCATGGAACCCTCGGTGCAGCAAGGTATAGACCCTCGGGCTTTGGTAAATTCGTCCAACCGCCCGCACTTAATGTCTGTTCGTCGTTAAGTTCGTTTTTGGACAAGTCTCTTTGGTGTAAATTAAGCCTCCAAAATATAAGTTGTAATTGCTTCCTTTCTGTTCGATGTTTATATGCCGTCTTGCTCGTAATTGGTCGAATCTTTGCATTCCCTTGCAGGTATTGCATCTAAGCGGCTTGATGAGGATGCCAGATGCCTTATTTCCAAAACGCCAAAAAATTGCTTCTAGCTCACAGCAAGAAGGTGAAAAATATTCAAAGATGTGTAAGCATAAAGCAGCCACCCATTGTTTTTGCTAGTGCTTCTTGCAAGCCTTTTCTGGCTGCTCTGTTTCGTTTGTCCATTTCAAATAGATTCAAATAGACTTTCTCCGTGAGACGTTTTGAATACCTGTTGGCTTAAAAATGAAATGTAAAAAGTGTGCTCAATGCATTCTGGACACGAAAAATAAGTCAAGTGCGAAAATTTGTGTTCTTTATCATGTTTTATCAGTTGACTTATAGATACCTTCAGTCAAGACAAATACACCTGTCTCACCCAACGCATCACTCAACCGCGTCTGCGATTGGTCACTTTCACAAATGGTCGTTCAATTCTATTCTAGACTGATGCTAAAAAGCAATCATGTAATAAAATGGATGCACGGGAATGCATGCACCTTAACAACATAGATGCATGCCCCGCGCTTAGCCCGCGCGGGGCTGGGGGAGTAAATTTTACCCCCCTCGCGAATTTTTGCAATATCTTAAAAACGGCGGCGCGCAGCGCCGCCAAACTTTCAGTACCTTTTCTTACATCAATTTGAAACGTTCCCTGAAAATTTGAGCGAAATCCGTTGGAAATTTTTTGAGAAATTGACGTTTTAGTGACGTCATGTTCGCCATTTTCGCCTCAAAAACGGCAAAAGTTCAAACGCCGCTAACATCTTCATTTTTAAAGGAATCAAGACGTAACAAAAAAGGATGTACGTAATTATACTTTGTCTATCAAATGGCTATCTCGGTTTTTTGAAAATTTTGGATTTTGACCCATTTTTTCAAAAAAACTGACGTTTTTGGGAAAATAACTATAAAATCCAAAATTTTAAGTGTATCAAAAAAACCGGAATATGTGTCAGAGAAGTGGTCTATGTGCACCTACATACCAAGTTTTAGAAGAATCGGTTCAAAAATGTGGGAGTTATTCAAAATTGTATGACGTCACGACACACAAAATTTTGAAAAATGACTTTTGGAAGTTCTAGACCTCGTACGGAAACAAAAATAGCACCATTCGATTCGCCGTGAAAAACTGCATCAGATAGACACCTTTTTAGACCTTAACAACCAACTTCAAAATTTGACCTCACTTGACCTGACCTTGACCTGACCTCGACCTGAAATTCATCCAGAGGTGGTCCATATCACTTATTGAGTGTGCCTATTGAATTCTATGAGTAAAATGACCCATAAAATATGTGTTGCACATGCCCTTTTCTATATTTTGTTTTTGGTGACCTGACCTGACCTGACCTGACCTTGACCTCTGAATGATATTGTATGCAACGAATATTGTCTTGGTAGTCTAAGAACACGTTTTGGGCGATCAGTCTCAGTCCACGACTCCATTCTTCGGCAACTACGGTGCAAGGCCGATACTGTAGGAACTTGCAATTTGTACGCTTGACCTGACCTTGACCTTGACCTCAAACTTAAAATTAAGTACATGTTTTTAGTTGTTCGTGATGAGATCTTTCGATTGGCGTTTGAATTTTCCAAATCGGACCATTAGTTCGGGAGATAACAGGGGGGGGGGGGGTAAAATTTACCCCCCCCCCAGCCCCGCGCGTTCGGCTGGAGACCCCAGCCCCGCGCGGGTTAAGGAGCACGTGTCATCTCTCTCGTCCACTGTATGGCGTAACGTACCCACTCCGCTGCCACACGGGTGAGGCGGCCTGCCAGCAGTTCCCCACGGGTGTTACACCACCGTACGCGCGCGTGTGCGTGTGCGTGTGCGTGGTCTCCACGCACCGCCTGGCAGTGACCGACGAGGGAGGCGCCACGTGCAGAGGGTGGGGGGAGGGGTGGGGGGTCTCTGAGCAGCTGCACGCGCCGTCTGCGGCCGCCCTCCGCACCCTGTCGTCCTCAAATAGACCGGCGCGCGCTCAAATAGCGTCAGTCAGAGGGGAACGGCGAGAGAAGCAGCAGCGGGAGGCGAGAGAGGAACCGGGAGCACTCAGACACACATACCCTCAGAAGGACAGACTAGCAGGTAAGGCGGGAGAAGTTCAGGGTCTGGTGGATTGGGCTTGCCCAATGTGATTGTGCTTTCCATAAATCAATTTCTAACGTGTGATTAATTCATGGCAAATTTCACATTAAAATCTGAAGCAGCTTGCCGATAATTATCCCATCTACCCCTTTCGTCAACAGAATCAGTTTAGACGCATCTATCTTTCGAAGTTCAGGACATTATCAGAAGGCACCGTCGCGCCGCTATTGAAAAATAACGCCAATCTTGTCTTTCAGCGCACCTTCTGAACTCTCCCTCGTAGCACACCATGAATCTGTTCTTCACTGCCGCCGCGCTGTGCCTCCTCTACACAGCAGGTAAGAGCACCGCTACCTGATGCACATGCATAACGTAATATTTTGATCTTTGCATTCCTCGACATAAGAATTGAAGACATAAATTCCTTACTGAATACTGTAGCTCTTATTCGTCGTGGTTTCCAATAAACTGAAATGGAATACATTTCCGAAAATAGCAACAAGCTCCTCGACAAAACTGAGTTTAGCTTCTATTCGTTAAAAGTATATAAGCATGACCTTTCCTCGACCTTTAAATCTATTCGTTGAATTAAATGTGTTACAAAGAAGGTGATAGCTCCCCGCGGCCCATTTGCCGTGACCAGGGCCGTGACCTGACCGTTGGCGGGCCCAGTTTCAGGCTCCGTGTACGGTCGCAGCAACGACTGTCCATCTGAGGAGGTGGTCACGGGCTGCTTCATCCGCGACGGAGAGTGCGTCTGCGACTCGGGCTGCCCGCCGACCATTTTCCCCTACAGGGATGAGGACGCGTGTCGACGAGCCGTCGAAGGTAAGCAGGAAGGGAACCGTCGACGACGCGTTTGATACCCGGCGTTGCTTAGAATTTATGTCATCAGCTTCATAGGGGGCTATTTCTTTGTATCGCATGCTATGTATTGGTATCTTCAGTTGTCTAAAAAAAGCTGGCCCAACTTCCAACCAAAACCCAAGCGTTTCTTCTAGGAGAATAACGGAAATATTCGGGACGCTTTAACATGTTTCTTCAAATGGCTTGACAACTTCAGGATCATTCGACAAGCAGCTTTTATTATCCCGAGTTTTGATCCGATTCTGACGAACGGTGTTTTACGCCACAGTTCGCAGCGCCGACATGTGTCGGGCGAGGCCGTGCAAGAACAACGGCTACTGCACGCAGAAGCGGGACGGCTACAAGTGCTTCTGTCACGGCACAGGACACTACGGCGAGCATTGCGAACTCCGTGAGTAACACACGGTGCAAACTCGCCAGCACCTCCGCGCGCGCGAGCGATGATCTTATGTTGTTGGAAAGGCTCTCGAATGCGATTTCCTGGCTACCGAAAGGTCTGTTTTATCAGTAGCTCCCCGACAGATTGACAGCCTTCAGACGACTGTAATTTTGCTTTAAATTACCATTTTGAACGCAATTATGAATGCGACGTATCACGATTTGAGTCCAATGTGAATAATCTTCTCGCAATGTCAGACAGTTCGCGTCAAGACGATTTAAATTTCCTTGACTGCGGCCTAACCCTTGATGTGTCCGTTTTGCAGCGTGCCTGCGGCCGGCGCGGCAGCGTCTGGTGCGCGACCCTGACTTCCCGTCCGAGTGCATCCTGATGGGTTGAGGAGAGTCCCCAACACAGAACAATCGACGTGTGTCGTCGGAGAGCGGCTCGCTAAACTGCCCCGAGCGGTGTCAGTGATAAAACACTAAGTGTTGAACGGCTCAGAAAGCTGGCGCTATAGAGTGCTATTCGCATCGAGTGCCAAATGCTGAGGCCAGTTACGTGCTCAGGGGTTCGTGTAAATACCTTGTCGATCTGTCGGTCTGAGGACGGTATTAGTGTCAAACAGACAGCAGTCCTCGCGCTCACGCCAGCGTCATAATGAAGGACTTTGGGACCACTGTGTAGGAGCTAAGTGACAAGTTTCTGAGTCGATGGTGTGCGCACAAAGAAGCAATAGCAAACCAGTGAAAAGAAACAACCAGCAAATAAGCAGCAGACTCAGAGAAGTGATAACCATCCAGTCATGCTCTAAGTCAACATTACGTCAGTCTTTTTCTTAGGATAGTGTGTACAACAGGAATCCGCCGCGGTATAGTGCTCTTGTTCCTATAAACAACGTGCTTTTTGTTACAATTCGAGAATTAATGCCTATCTGAGTCGGAGTACCGTACAAAAACCTGTATGACTGATTACTGGTTTGTGTGTGTCCTTCAGTGTTTGGGTTTATTTAAATATATGACTTACGTGAACGAAGTTGATCTCTTTGCACGGTAACACAATGATAGTGATATTTTGAAAGATATCACTAATGACATAGGTGCGAAGGCAATATACCACACCGTCGCCACGAATTGCACCAATCAACGGTGAAAACGTAGCTGGGCACTGCACGGTCCATCGAGGCCAACATCACTAGAGAAAGCATCTCCCGCAGCAAAGGCGAGGAAATTGACATACAAGGCCAAAAAGAGAGCAGATAGCCTTCTCATCACATGCTAGTCAAAGCCGCTGTCGACTCGGTCTCGTCCCACGCTCTCCACTACGCCACGGGCCCGTCAGGCACTGCTGCAGTGTCGTACTGAGCACGACCGTACGGCCACGGGCTGGTAGATGCGAAATTCCCATGCATCTCACCGACAGAGGTACATGTGGAACACACCGAGAAGTGAATGTGGAAGTCTCTCTAGTCTCTGCACCACACACCAGAACAGAGCCCAGCGTTTTTACGCCCATATTCGTTTATCTGAACAACGGACATACAGCAGATGGGCGAATGCGACGCAAAAACAGCCTCCAAACTGGGTCGCAGCTGGCGGTGCGAGATTGGAGCGAGACTCTGCGCCAATGTGCAAAAACGGTCACACTGGAAATGTTGGTAACACACAAGGCCGGGCAAACTCGCGTGTTGATAAACATCCGGGTTTAATCAACAAGCGGCGAGACAGGATGTGATCGGAGCGCACTTCCCAGCTTTCTGCAATACTGCCGCCTGGTTTCAGACGCTGATCATGATAATTTGTTTTTAAGGGCGCCCAGATGGCACCGGCTATCGGCGCGCAAACATCGTTTTGTCTGAAGTCCGGCCGGTCTCAAATCGGGTGGTCGGGACCACTGCGCCTGGTTAGTGATGGGGCATCCAAAGAGGACGCGTCATCGATCACTGCTCATTGTAAACTAGCAATGATCGCTGTTGCTTTCCCATACCTGCTACATTGCATGATTAAATCGAGACGTCCAGGCATTTTAATGGCACGTGCACTGTACCACACTTTTCAAAGTTTAATGCAGTACTTTAATATTGCCAGCCGTGTGGTTCAAGGGGTGTGGTTAAACGCGTTGAACCCACTGAACTCTAATATATACTGGAAGGAGCATTGGTGACTTGTTTTTGTCTATCGATTTCCGCCATGTTGTGTATACCAGAAATATAAATTGCATGTACGGTAGCAGAGGTGCAGTTTAGTGAGAGGTACACTACTCAAAAGTGCTGCTGCTTCATGCTTGCAGTTTGATTGCAGTGATCAACTTTTCAAGACTTTGGTATACACAACATGGCGGAAATCGTTAGACATTCTGGCCCATATACGGCCAAGGCGAGTGCCTCCCCCTGGTTGAACCACACGGCTGCTGACGTCACTATCAATTATAGTTGTGAGCTTTTTGACAGGTATGGGAAACACCTTCCAGCCCTAAGGCCGGGAATTCAATAAATGTCACCTCGCTTTTTTAGCGAAAAGCACTTCGGGCCTAACGGCCCTCGGAGTTTTCGCTAAAAAACCTCGGTGACATTTATTGAATCATCCCGGCCCCGGGCAGGAATATATAATCCATTGTGATAATAAGTGGCTGTTCACAGTGTCACTCGTCTAGCTGCAAGCAGTGACGAGGCCAGGCCAGAGCGTGTTCAAGCCTGACAATACAACCATCAGCGCCCGTATACCAATATCAAAAGGACGACGGTCTACGTAAGGAGGAGCGGTTGAAGTTTTGGTAATCTGAGCCTGACTTTTAATACCACAGGTGACACCACTCACTGCTCCCGGGCGGCGGTGATGACGCTGCTGTCAAAGACGCCCGCAGCGAACTCGTGTGAAGCTCGGGGCAAGTGATACTGACGGCATGTAATATATGTAGTAGAGCCGTATTACGAGCAGAAGACGAACACAGGACGTACCTTGGCTTAGTCTAAGTTTTGGATCAGTAACAAAGACACCATAAAATATGTGTAGCGTTTTAATGTATTCATAAATTCAAGAATTGCTGCCACAAAACGGACCAAGGAGCTTGCGGTATTTAGTCGTTTGAACATATATCTTGCTCATGCACACATCGCAACATATTCATAATGCAGTTCAGATTCGCTATACTAAACTCTTAGTAATAAGCATCTGTTTACACATGGATGAAAATGCGTGAAGATGAGATATGATGATTAATGAACAACATTCCACAAATATGAAGGCAACTGCTTATCTCTGCACAGTGCACATCGCTACCATTATTAATTATTATCAATTATGATGATGCTATGTTTTTACAACTACATAGTAAGGTGAAGCGTAGCGATGCAGAACGATCGTTTCATTTTAGCATGGGCTGAACGAAAATGGTAGTGCTTTCTCGGTGTGCCGCGAAAGATGTTGAAATACATATGATTTCTCAACCCACAAGCATATTAAGGAAACGAAAGAAAGAAGAAAAACTAGCAGAGGTGCCCAAATACTGTCTATGACTGTGCAATTTTAGCAGGGCATGCGATAAAAGCTGCTGAATCGGGGAATGCTTATATAACAACACAGCTTAGCAGCATCAATATGAGAAAAAAATAAAGCTAGCCTCACTCGAAACTTGTCAGTTGCCAGTGTACTGTGCCAGTACGAAACAAGTGAAGGGTCCGATCCTTGCCAAATAACAAGCTTCTCTGGCCCACATCTAAACTCAGTAATCAGCAGAGTTACCTGGGCCTTATCATATTCTATACTACGGTCATTTCCGGCAAAATGTCCATACAAGCTGTTGGTTAGGTCTGCTCCCCAGAATGCCCTCCGCCTGCCCACCACGTCGGTAAACCCACCCACAACGGACCCCACCCCTCTTTGTGCTACATCAGGCAGTACACTTCATCTCTTGAGACTGCGAGCCTCAACGCTCTACGCCACACTACGCCTCTCGTTATCAGTGTGTTCCTCGCCGTCCCCAGCCGCCTCGCCCTCACCATTCACCTCCCTGTCTGGTGCTCTGGGCTGTTTCTCAGCGGGCTTACCGCCTGAGTCGGCCGCTCCCCCTGCGGGCTTGGAGTCGGTGCTGGCCGCTCCCTCTGCGGGCTTGAAGCCTGGATCGGCGGCTCCATCTGCGGACTTTTCACCTCCGTCGGCGACTCTCTCTGGCATTCCGTCGGCGGCTCCCTCTGGTGTTCCGTCGGCGACTCCCTCGGCGGCCAGCGTCCACAGCCGGTTGGTCAGCCGGACGGCCGGCAGAGCGGCCGTGTCCAGACTGAACGTCACCTGGTCGCTGGGCTGCACCGAGACGCAGCCGCGCAGCTCGTCGTCCGACTCCAGAGCGGTGCCTAGACGCACGTGGCCGCAGAGCAGCAGGTACGCAGAGAACGCCGCCCTGCCGCAGCGGTACGTGACGCCGTTAGAAGTCAGGGGACAAGGAGAAACGATCCGCAACATGTGCAAACTGCGGATACAGATCGTAGAGTGATTGAACATTGTTGGATGACGAATGGGATATGTTATGGGGGCAGACCCGTACCTGTTAGGCCCGCATACTGGCCACTCTGTGACGTCACCGCCTGGGGCGACCGACCGGCCGCTGACCGGCGGTCGGGTCGCGGCGCCGGGCGGGCGTCAGTCTGCGGCGGGGCGCCGAGCGAGGAACAATACAGACTGGAGTGCACCACGACTGTGTAGTGCACGGAGGACGAGGAGGAACGGGTGCGTGTGGCCGTAACATTTTGGCGCGGTCGGTAGGACACGAACCTACGCTCCCATTGTATGATATTTGATATGTTGAAATGCATATGAGCGGCATGCTCCAGGAACGTGACTGAATATTTCATATTTTTCTGGATATTTTACCGAGCATAATTTTCTGGATATAAAACAACTATACCATTTACAGTTGAGTATTTATTTATTTGAGTATTTAGAGAGCATTCATATTTATTTAGATCAATTGAAATATTCAAAAATACTTACGATACATTTTTTGTTTATTGAGCGGAGAGCTCACCGTCCTCAAGTATGGATCCCAAGCTGCTATTCCTCACCCGGGCAAGGAAATTCTCTGGCAAAGGTGGGGAAAACTGGGACACTTGGATATCCCATTTTGAGGCTCAAACTCCCACCTTTGATGATGAGGGTCGCCTTCAGTGTCTTTTGAGTCTACTTGAGGATGATGCCTTGGATGCCATGCTAGCCCTGCCCGTGGGGGTCAAGGTCAAATATGCTACTGTGAAAGCGGCACTTGACGGTAGGTTCGGCAGGAAGGTCGATCGGCTCCAGGCGCATGCTGAACTCAGTCGCGCAGTACAGGAGCCCGGTGAGTCGGTGGAAACATTTGGTGACCGGATTAGGAAGCTAGGAAGGCTAGCCTATCCAGATGCCAGCGACGGCGACAGAGCGGTGGAAAGCTCTCTCACCAGCCGTTTCATATGTGGGCTGCAGGACGAATGGACCCAGAGCAAAGTTTGCAGTCGTAACCCTGAGACACTAATGGAGGCAATCCAATTAGTGCAGACCCTACGCAGCCGCCAGGAGGCATTCCAGGCGGTGCGCGCGACAACAGCAGCTGCTCTGTCTGCCACATCGGGAACCAGCCGTGGTCCCGGGGGAGGTGACATGGGCAGCAACGATCGTGTTCGCGCTCTGGAGCATCAAATCGACGAAATTGGTCGCACTCTGCGAGCACTCACAGCAACGGATCGCCAGGCGGGGTCACGGCAACCAGCCAACGAGGGAAGCAGGTGCTACAACTGCGGCATGCCCGGCCACTTCCGAAGGAGATGTCCCGCCCTGAGGCAACACACACCGGACGACAACAACCAGCGAAGACAACCAGCGGGGGTCCCCCAGGGTAACGTGCAGGGCGCTGAACCTCCCGTGCCGCCGTTCTGCATGTGCTGTGGACGTCAGGGACACTGGATGGCGGAATGCCAGCATCTGCCACATGGTAATGCAGGAAGGCAGCACGGCGGCAACGGCCTCCGGAATGGACCTCGTGGTCCGCAGGCGGAAAACTAATGGTAGCTGGGACCGAGGGACAGGTGCCAGCTGCAAGAGACAACAAGTCCCAAATAACAGCTGCGGCAGTAGAAGTCACTCTGGGAACCAGGCGCGTGTGGGCACTCGTCGACACCGGCGCAGACTTCTCGATGGTCCGCGACGGGCTGCAGGGAGAAATTCAGAGGGATCTGAAGTGTGAGATGTTCCCACCTGCTCGGAGCGCACGCGGGGCCGGTGGGGAGCCGCTCCGTATCGCTGGCGTTCTGAGGGAGGTACCTTTAAAGGTAAAAGGGGCACTACTCACCTGCCCCAGCCTGGCCGTCGTCGGTGGGCTGGTCTATGACCTGGTCCTGGGGAGAGATTTCTGCTGCCGGTACGGCACCGTGATCGATGACCAGAGCGGCTCGCTCAAGTTGGCGGGGATGACCATTCCGTTGCCCACATATAACGACATTCGCCCAAGTCGAGCCCGAGTCCTGCTATGTGCAACGGCGGTAGTCCCCCCGCGGTCGGCGTGCGTCGTGACAGCCAAGATAGTGCCGGTTGATGGAGCCATCGCGGAACATCATTTGGCTCCGTTTCAGGGAATCATCGAGCCGAGCGGCAGCTCTGAACGGGAGGAAGTCCTGATCCCGAGAGAGCTGGTGGAGGTCAACGCGGGCGACTTGGTACCAGTCACGCTGACGAACACCGGATCGCTTGAGGCTCGGCTCCTGGAAGGAACAGATGTTGGGACGTTTTTCGCACTAAACGAAGGACGAGAAGACAACATGTACGAGCTGTGTCCCACTGGTGAAGGCCAGTGCGACACAAATGTTGCTGTGGTGCGAGGTGAGGGTGCAACAGTAGCAAGCGGTGGCGCACTGGACGTCCCCGGACTCGATGTGGATGCCTCAGATCTCAACCCAGCGGGAAAAGAGAAACTTCGCTCACTCATCTCTGAATACCGGGACATCTTCAGTCGTCACTCAGGTGACATTGGGAGGACGCATCTGGTGGAGCACCGGATCGACACGGGCGACTCGGCTCCGATTCGACAGCGTCCTCGTCGTGTTCCTGTCAAGCTAAGGAGTGTCGTTGAAGAGCAGAAGCAACAAATGCTGAAGGACGGGATAATCGAGGAGAGCGACAGCCCCTGGTGCTCGCCGGTCGTGTTGGCTCGCAAGAAGGACGGCAGTTTTCGGTTTTGCGTGGACATGAGGGCGGTGAATGGAGCAACGCGAGGCCTGGCTCATCCTCTGCCTCGTGTCGATGATGCGCTCGATTCCCTGTCCGGTGCTCGGTGGTATACCACGCTGGACATGGCGACAGGGTACTGGCAAGTGGGTCTGGCCGAGGAAGATCGTGAGAAGACTGCATTCACGACCGGGAAAGGTCTCCACCAGTTCAGAGTCATGGCGATGGGCCTGAAAAACGCGAGCGGGACGTTCCAGAGGCTCATGGAATTGGTCTTGGCTGGACTAGACACTAAAAACTGCCTAGTATACCTGGACGATATCATTCTGTTCAACAGGACCGAGGACGAGCACATCGCGACGCTGAGGGAGGTCTTCCAAAGGATCAGAGCCGCCGGCTTAAAACTCAAGCCACAAAAATGCCGACTCGCGAAACGGGAGGTGTCGTTCCTCGGGCACATGGTATCGGAACAAGGCATCCGACCAGACACTCGTAACGTCGAGAAAGTCTCCGGCTGGCCCGAACCGTCGACGGAAGATGAGATGAGGAGCTTCCTCGGGCTGACTGGATACTACTCACGCTTCATTCAGGACTATGCAGAGATCAGCAGTCCGCTGCGGAATGCCCAGGCAGAAAACGCAGATGGGAAGCTGAAGTGGACCGATGAAATGCGGGACGCTTTCCGTCGGCTGAAGAGCATCCTGGCGTCGCCACCCATCTTGTGCCTGCCCACCTTCAAGGGCTTCTTCATACTCTACACGGATGCATGCAATACCTCCGTAGGGGCAGTCCTCGCAGAACGCATCGGCGAAGAGGAACGAGTGATTGCCTACGAGAGCAAGGTCCTGTCCAAACAACAGAAGCGATGGCCCACGTATGACAAGGAGCTTTGGGCTATTGTTCACGCGATCCGGCGGTTCAGGCAGTACACAATGGGGTCCAAGTTCGAGGTGGTCACGGACCATAAGCCGCTGGCAAACATACCCCAGTCGATCGCAGTCGAAAGAGACGGAACTGGTCGACGTGGGCGGTGGGCCATCGAGCTGAGTTCGTTTGAGTTCAATGTTATCATACGTAAGGGCTCAGATCACTCCAACGCCGATGCACTGTCCAGGCGGCCTGAGCTCGTGAACCCTGTAACCGCATCGGGAAAAGGGGTAACCGAGACGAGCTCTGGGCACCAAGCACAGGGGACGCGCGGAGTGGAAGGCCAGCCGGGCGGGACGCCCGATAGCCGACCGGGGAAGCAAGATGCGAGCGGTACGCTCGACTCAACTCTGACGGTCCACTCTGGCGGCGAGAACCCGAAGCTGCGCGAGGCACAAGATCGTGATGCTGTACTGAAGGACGTTCGAAGATGGTGTGAAGATCGGGCACTCCCAGAGTCGGCTGAACTCGGGGAGTGGAAGATGGTTAGAAGCCTTTGGGACAACGTCGAGGTGCGACAGGGAATAGTAGGCATCTGTGACAACAAGCAGTTCCGGGCATTGGTCCCATCCGAGGCAAGAGGCGAAGTCATGGCGTTCGCTCACGGACACTACACAAGCGGGCACATGGGACGGACGCGCACCTCGCTACGACTGAAATCTCACTTCATCTGGCCAGGGATGTACAGGGATGTGAAGAATTACTGCGAGGAATGCATCCTCTGCCAGCGGAGGCGCCGCCCGAACCCAAAGAAACGAGCACCGATGGTCACGGAAGTCATGTCCAGGCCATTTGAGAGGATCGCCATCGACATCACGGAGATGCCGCACTCATTGAAGGGCAACAAGTGCGCACTCGTCATCATGGACTACTTCACCAAGTTTGTCCGTATCTATCCCATGCCTGATCAAAAAACCGAGACAGTCCTGGAGGCACTCCTAGATTGGGTGTATGATCTGGGGGTACCCGAGCGTCTCCACTCCGATCAAGGGAGACAATTTGAATCGGACCTATTTCAGATGATGTGTAGGAAACTTGGGATACACAAGACGCGAACCACGCCCTACCACCCCGAGAGTGATGGCATGGTCGAGAGGTTTAATCGGACGTTGAAGGATATGGTGGCCAAGTATGTCAGCGGGGGAGGCCCGCAGTGGGATGTGAATGTGAAGGCCTATTCTATGGCATATAACTCCTCCGTCCACAGCGCAACGGGCTTCTCCCCGTTCTTCCTGGTGCCGGTTTTGAGCCGCGCATGCCGCTGGAAGCTACATATGTTCCCCCAAGGGAGCTGGTGCCTGCAGAGACGTTCGTAACGGATCGGCTGAAGGCAATCCACGACGCCCACCATCTCGCTCGTGTCGAGACTGAGCGAGCGGGGAGGGAGTCGGTAAAGCGTCACAGCCGGCGAGAGAACGAGACCAGGTATCGGGCTGGTGACCGTGTTTGGGTTCGCGACCACAGAGCAGCAGTTGGCGGTAAGCCAAAACTTGGTCTCCCGTACGCTGGTCCCGCGACGATCACGGATAAGGTAGGTAAGGTAACCTACCGTGTACAGGACCACACCGGTCGTATACGGGTGGTGCACCACAATCACCTGAAACCAGTGGTGGAGTCGACCAGGTACGGGGGTGGCGCCGCCCCAAGGGTCCCGCCCCGACGACCCAACTCCGATCCCGACCCACCCAGATCCCGAACGAGGTGTCCCGAGATGATCCCCGAACAGGAGCGCGCCGGGTACACTCCACAGCGCGACACTGAGGAAGTGACAGAGGGGCTTTCTGGGGAAGAAATAGCCCGCTTACTCATACTTACTAAGTCAGCCAAACCACCCTCGCGACCATATGTCACTAGGTCCGGGCGAGTCTCACGCCCTCCAATCCGTCTTTAATCAGACACATGGCGATTGGCCCCATGTATGGCGAGGACGTTGTCTGACAGCGATCCAATTTCAGAGATGGAGCGTGAGCTGAGCCGACTCCGATCGTGCTTGGAGGCAGAGAGGGAGGAGCGAAAGAAGGAGGTGGCGGCACTATGGCGCGCCGTCAAGAGACTGTCGCTCGGGCAGAGCGTGGTCCTCCCGAGGGGCGCCGACGCCATCGATGTCACCGCGCCTGATGTTAACGAGGAGCTGTTCCCCGACCAGAGGGACGACCAGCCCGACGCGGACAACATCCTCCAACAAATACTTGAGGGTGAGATCGACCCACCAGACTTCAGTGGGATGGTGGCGGCTGACGAGATCGACCCACCAGACTTCAGTGGGATGGTGGCGGCTGACGATAGCCTGGAGGTCTCATGGCCGCCGATGAACATCCCGGGTAAGGCCGGGCCCCTACCGACTGGTAACGACGATGGTCTCGATGGCGGTGTGCCCCAGGCCGAGGGCGGTGCGCCCCAGGCCGTGGGTGGTACTCCTGGTGCGCCGGGCGGTGCGCCCCAGGCCGAGGGCGGTATGCCCCAGGCCGGAGGCGGCGCTCCCGGCGCGTCCCGGACCGTGGGCGGAGCGCCTCAGGCGCAGTCGACGACGCGACCGACTCTCGGCGCCGTGACGAGCGTGAGGCACCGGGCTGCGTGCGGTGGAGCGGCAACCGGCCCACCCGACCCACCAGTGGCAGGGGTCAAGAGCGTCCTACTGGTGGGCGATTCGATGGTGTACCACGGCCGGTTTCGGACCAGGGACCCTTCGTGGTCCCTCGAGACCTGGGCTGTGTCCGGCGGAACCTGGGCCGAAATGGGCTGGTACCTTCAGGCTCGAGTGAACGCCTGGACCCGGTCCGCGGCGGCGATGGGGCACACGCCCACGGCCGTCGTGATCTGGCTCGGAGGGAACGACGCCTACCCGAGGAACCCGCCGGTCTCGGAGGGACTCTCCCAAAACCTGGAGGGTCGCATCGAGCGTATGGTGGCGTCCTTGCGCGCGCAGTACGAGGTCTACATCGTGGGACCCACCCCGCGACCCCGCGTCGACGGACAGAGCGTGTGGGAGGACACGCAGGCCTGGAAGCTGGAACGGCACTTCGCCGAAATGCTGCGAGAACAGGGCGACGTATCGTCAGGGCGGAAGCTCGGTAAGCTGGTGGCGGTGGGCCGTCGTCTGTGCACCAGGCAGAGGGGGGCAGTCATGCATCAGGGTAAGCCCCGAGATGTGTATCGGGTGGACAAGGGGATGTTCAGAACTGACGGCGTGCACCTCACCGAGGATGGCTACCGCCGGGTCAGCGACAGGCTGCCGTGGTGGCTGCAGTGCGGGTAGGCGTGCGGCATCGTCGGGTCAACGCGTCGCGAGCGATGCGGTGCCCTGATGGGAGCGGTGCGACGGAGTCACGGCGGTCGCGATCGGTGTTGCTCTGTTGTCGCTGAGGCGCCGCGAGTGTGTGGTGTTATGTTGGGATTCTGTTGTAGTCGCGGTGCCGAAGTTTGGTAATCGTGTCGCTGATGTGTCTCGAGCGGGTGGTGTTTTGTGTTAAGACTCTGTGATGTTCGTGTTGCCGAAGTCTGGCATTGGCGGCGCAACCTGCAGGGTGTGCCTGTACGTGATGCGCCGTTGTTGTGTTGAGTTGTAGCCATTTTCTGTGAAGGTCGCGTTTTCATTTAGGGGGGAGGAGTGTTATGGGGGCAGACCCGTACCTGTTAGGCCCGCATACTGGCCACTCTGTGACGTCACCGCCTGGGGCGACCGACCGGCCGCTGACCGGCGGTCGGGTCGCGGCGCCGGGCGGGCGTCAGTCTGCGGCGGGGCGCCGAGCGAGGAACAATACAGACTGGAGTGCACCACGACTGTGTAGTGCACGGAGGACGAGGAGGAACGGGTGCGTGTGGCCGTAACAGATACCAAGCGCCGAATGCACTTGAAGGTATTTGAGCAGAGGAGGCAATAATTGATAACTCAACATCAGTGCAGCCAGACTTCTGATTACAAAACTTAAAAATCAATAAAGCATACACACCAAAAGTGGCAATCGCTGGGAGAGAAAAATGAAGAAGCTGTAAACAAAAGGTGAAAATATTTCAACGAAACCTATTCCAAGCACACTCACCTTTCACTTTCAAGCCGTTTTTCGACTGTTTTCAGCTGCTTCTCACAGTCCCGCTGAGTCGCCCTCAGCTGCTTCTTCAGGTCATCCTCCTCTGCTCTCAAACCATTCAGCTTCTCAGTCGTTCTCGCCTATCGAAGGGAAAATCGAATATGGATAGGTGCCAATCAGTGCACGGAAGATAAGACTGAATACATTATCAACAGGTATTGATTGCAAGTGATATCTGCAGTGTTGAATATTGGACTTGGGTATTGGTATACCACGCCTAGAAAATAGGATTATGTTTCCACTTTCCAGCAGTCAGCACTATATTCAACAGCAATAATGCAAGCTAGATTCTACAGCATGTTAATCATCAGCCTTAACCCGGCAGTTGCTGGGGTATTTCGCCACCCGCCGTTTGCTGGGGGGGAGGGGGGGGGGGAATAAACGCCCCCAGCCGATAGCTCTCGAGAACCAATAGGGGCAGCGAAACGCACGAGGCGACAAACGAAAGAACGCGCGACGAGACTCTTCAGATGAGTACTTGAAAGTTGAATTTCGAGGTCACAGGTTGTGTCAAGGTCAGGTCAAACACCTGAAATTGGGCTCTCAATAGCATGGACTTCATAGCCTCGTAATGGGCGCCTCTCGTGATAAACTCTGTCAAAAATGTGCACAAGCCTTCCTAAAAGGCCCTAAAGAGTGTCAGATCTATGTAGGGGTCAGTCAAACATAGGCCAGGGTCAAGGTCAGGTCAATAAGGTAAGCACATATCCTCGAAAATCAAAACCGGTATTCGCAACATGTTTTATGGGCAATTTTGGGCGTAGAACACGATAATGGCATTCTTTTTATCATACGGGTACGTTTTTGGCTCAAAAAGTCAATTTAAAAAATGCATGCATCATGGTCGTGAAGTAGTCACGAAAAGTGAGGGCGTTTACCCCCCCCCCCCCCCAGGAGCTCGCGGGTTTAAAGGAAATAATTCACTTTTAACATTGGGTTTTGAACTGGAATAGCACTTTTTTTAGCTTGAGCTGAGACTAGCACAAATCAGAAGCTTTTACGGCCTAACGATCACCCTAGACGAAGATGTTCCATTTCTCGTTCCAAAAAGAGTGGCTTGCAGAGGAATGCATGCCTTGCTGGGGATAAAAAGGTTTTATTTTCTTTGCTGATCACTTTGAGCATAAAAACATAAACCATTGCAAAAAGCTAATTTCGGGAAAGTGATCTATTCCCTTTAAATGGGACATATCTATTATCTACCCACAATTTTGATTTGAATCTTCAGACTTCAGAGCAATCGAAATATATGTTGATAAATATTTTTTAACCCTCGCCCGTATAGGGGAGGGGGGTCGAACGGACCCCCCTCGGTTTTTCGCGAATAACTCGCGTAAAAAGCGGCCGATCGCGACGAAACTTTCAGTACCCTCGAGTTAATCAATTTTACACTTACCCTGAAAATTTCATGACCCTGACCCAAATGACCTTTGACCTGTGACCTACGTTCCGAGATCATGTTTGGCCGGAATCGCGATTCGGCGTATGTTGGCTCGCATTAGCCGCGCTTTCGCAGTCTTTTCGTGTTTTCATGCGGCGGGTGTTAAGGTCACCTCAAGGTCAGGTCAGGTCATTGACCTTTGATGACCTCGGTTCATTTTTCGAGTTTTACATGTTTCTAGGCCAGTTTTTGGAGCTGAATTCGAATTTAGCCACCATATGAACATTTACATAGTTGTTTTGGTGCCTTCGTAACATGTTACAAAGCTGTCAGAGGCGGTTGACACTTGACACCTACTACGAATACCCGGCGGGACCCCTACTGGATGACCTGACCTGACCCGACCTGGCCTAAATGCATGAAGACATCATCTGTGATCAAAACTAACATGATATTCGTGATCAGCACCCCGAAAAAGCCCGTAGCAGCCACACTTTACGACGTTCTAACAGGTCCCCATTTTCCCGACTTTTGGGTCATTGACCTGACCTGGAAGGTCAACCATAGCTTCAAAGCTGTAGGCCTGACAGCTCTTCTCGCGAATCTCTTTTTTCGGTCGAAAATGGCAGAACATGACGTCATTCTGACGTCATTTGTGGCCGACCTAGCATAGCCTCTGGATTTTTTTTTTTTTGTCTCAATGTGTAAAATTGATGCCTGAAGGGGTCTTGAAAGTTTGGTGGCAATATCTGCAGCGTTTAGGAGATATCACGGAAAAAGATGGAGGAAGGGGCGTTTCGCCCCCCCCCCCTCCCCTACGGGGCGCAGGCTGAACCCTCGCCCGTATAGGGGGGGGGGGGGGGTCGAACGGACCCCCCATGGTTTTTCGCGAATAACTCGCGTAAAAAGAGGCCGATCGCGACGAAACTTTCAGTACCCTCACGCTATTCAATTTTACACCTACCCTGAAAATTTAATGACCCTGACCCAAATGACCTTTGACCTGTGACCTACTTTTCGAGACCATGTTTAGCCAGAATCGCGATTCGGCGTATGTCGGCTCGCATTAGCGGCGCGTTTGCAGTCTTTTCGTGGTTTCAAGCATTCAAACATGTGATATGGTGTTGCCCCCATTCATTAGGGTGGGTGTCAATGTCATCTGAAGGTCAGGTCAGGTCATTGACCTTTGATGACCTCGGTTCACTTTTTCGAGTTTTACATGTTTCTAGGCCAGTTTTTGGAGCTAAATTCGAATTTAGCAACCATATGAACATTTACGAAGTAGTTTTGGTGCCTTCGTAACATGTTACGAAGCTGTCGGAGGCGGTTGACACCTACTAGGAATACCCGGTAGGACCCCTACTGGTTGATCTGACCTGACCTGACCCGACCTGGACTAAATGCATGAAGACATCTGTGATCAAAACTAACATGATATTCGTGATCAGCAGCCCGAAAAACCCCATAGCAGCCACACTTCACGACGTTCTAACAGGTCCCGATTTTCCCGATTTTTGGTCATTGACCTGACCTGCAAGGTCAACCAATGACCTAGGACCTTAAAATTGGGTATCATCGGCTCCCTCTCGTCACGGGCAACACGCTCGTTTTTTTCGCGAAGCTCTAGCTCGCTCAGGGGCGAAACAGCAATGGGGGGGGGGTCTAACGGACCCCCCCTTATACTCGCGGCTGGAAAAAAAAACAATACGGGCGAGGGTTAAGGAAATATACTACTTTCCTCATATTACTGCATGCTGATTGGCTGACAATTGGCCTCTGCCAGAGGTGGCTGCATTCTTTGTTTGCATTCTTTCACATTCCTCCATTAGGGGAGAGTGGGGTAAGATGCCCAGGGTGGGAAAGACGCCCCACCCCCTCTAGCGCCGAAACAAATAATCGCACCTGGAAATTAATGTTCTTAGCGTAAAGCGGCAGCCTGCCTTGTTAACTGCACAAAAATTTGCGAAGCTCAGTTGGGCAATGGCTGGCTGGTTATGGCATGTTTTTTATTTGCTGTTTTCAAAAAATATTTTGTTGTCAAAACATTGTAAATATCAAAGAAGGTAGATAATTTTTGCGTCCCTTGCTATAGTCGTGATACATTAACATGCGTGTACTGTGTCCCAAACAGTTTGTTTCAGGGTGTAGTTTTATGGCTAACAAATTGTACTGATTTAATGTTACTTCGGTACCTTGGGGTAAGACGCCCCCTGTCCTGATGGGGAAAGACGCCCCCCTAAATCCGTAGGCTGTCCTTCAAGCAGCCCGTCAAATCATTTATTACATTCTTGTGATGAGAGACAAAAGCCGATCTGGGACTATTGAGAGTCCAGTACGGTCGGGTGCTCCCCATGCCGGTCTCTCCGCACACACAGCGACTTTTTTGGCGGCATCTGACTCTGAGAGCCCTCACGACGGCCTCTGTGGGCCCCATTATTGGCTCCAGGGCCCCTCACGACATCCTTTGAGGGCTCCCACGTTGGCTCCACGGGCCGCGCTGGTATCTGAGGTCCCCACGATGGGCTCGAGGGGCCTCAAGCATCATGAAGACCTATAAGGGCCCCAGAGTGGTCTCCGAAAGCCACCACGGAGGCTTGTTTGGCCGCGCTGGATTATGATGGCCCTAACGATGACCTCTGAAGCCCCTTACGACTACTTTTGAGGGCCCTTACGATGACGTTTGGTGTCTACTGCAGGCTCGAAGGGACTACTGATTCGTTCAGGCGATTCACGTGCCCATTTATGTCACTTATAGTGCAGGGGGCATCTTCCCCAACGCCAGGGGGCGTCTTTCCCACCCTGTGGGGTAAGATGCCCCCTTTCACTTCTTCGGGAAAATGCTTAATAGCAAAAAAAGCTATCATATTTCAGGCACGAAAGTGTGATATTTTTGGAGAAAAATGATGTCGGCTTCCGTTGAAACTCCAAACTTTTGCTTTCCGATCGTCATTTTCGAATAATATATGACATAGCAAAACCCTGGGCATCTTTCCCCACTCTCCCCTACATTCATCCATAAGGGACTGGTTTTGGAACTAATCAGTTTGCTCACCAGGTGAGTAAAATGGATACATCTTTGGCTAGGGTGATCATCGGGATAAAAAGGCTTCAGAAATGTGCTAGTCTCTGCTGAACCTACAAAACTGCTATTTCAATTCAAAGTCCCATCTTAACCCGCGCACCGACGGGGGTCTGCGCCAACTTCGCACCCCGCCCCCCCCCCCTGAGATCTCGAGAACGAAGCAAGAAAGCGACAAGCGGTAAACGGCATCGGATACGCACGGCCAAGATCTACAATTTTTACTAAGGTCATTTTCAGGTCAGGTCAAAGATGACGTCACAGGGGTCGAAAAAGTCAAAATGGCGGCGCTAGATATGGAGAGAGTTTTTCTCGAATAACTTTCGAATTAGTCAAGATAGGAACAAACTAAGGGCAGCATCGTGATCCTCTCGTCAATCCGCATCGAATGATATATATGTTGACCTCGAAAGGTCAAGGTCAAAGGTTGACCTCAGGTCACGTGACCTTGAGGTCATCATGTAAATCATTCGATGCGTCTTGACGAGCTGAACACAATGAGACCATCCACGCGTCTGTATCTTGTTCCTGTACGGAGTTATTGGCCAAAAACCTTTGGTGACCTTTGATGATGTCACATGACCTCAAAGCTGCCCAACAGCAAAACAGACCTCAAGGTAGTGAAGGTTGATCGTATATGAAGTCATGTATGGTATATGGGGCCATTCCGACCCGTTTTAGTGGTAAAAACAGGGAGTTGATTTTTCCCCCATTGACTTATAATGGGGAGGTCGCGAAATTGACCTGACCTTAGGTCACCGATATCAAAATTCCGAGATATACAAATTGTAGCTACTAATGACCTAATAATATCCTGCGACTTTCAAAGGCCTCCGACATCTACTGTTGCTCTGGCACGGTGACAAAGTTGCAAAAAAGTGACTTGAGGTTGGGTCATTCAAAGTGACCTGGTGACCTGACCTTAAAAGGTAGGAGGTTCAAACTTGCACACCATGTGTAAAATTGATGAGGTTATAGTCATACCAAATTTCGCGGCGCTACGCGCCGCGGTTTTCCCGCTATTCGCGAAAAACCGGGGGGGCGGATATCCGCCCCCCCCCCGTCGGTGCGCGGGTTAAAAGTGGCATATTTCCTTTAATAATTTTGGTGGTCATTACCTTGTTGATGTCATTTTCATACTTAGCTTTCTGAAATTCTTCCAGACGAGTATTGAAACTGCCAATGGTTTTCACATGTTCTGCTATATTTTTAACATCCAGCAGACCTGTAAAGCAATACCATTGGTTTCATAATTCATACCTAATAATCATTTGACCATTGTTGACTTTTTCAAGAACACCATAACATATGAACAAACTCATCAATTGAAAAACAAAAAAGAGCAATGACAGCCTCATAACTGAACTTCCTTATCCATCATGCATACCAATTGATGCCAAGCAAGACATGATCAAAAGTGGCACACAAAACACCTATGATGCACCCAGGTCAAAAACTGACAAGATGGTACTTCATACCATCAACATGCTCCTGCCCAGTTTGCAGGCAATGCCTTGTGGTGATTCGAAGATTATCCAGCAGCTGCTCGATGCTGGATTTGCTCTCTGTTCTCAGTGGCTGAGTCATTTTTCTTAATGCTGTCTCTACAATGTTCATATCTGCATCCATTTCTGAAAACAAAATAAGAACTGAGTCAAGACTAAGATCACTTAACCCGCGCCCTGGTGGGGTCTGTTTATAACGCGACCTGGTGGGGGGGGCTATTTTTTGCCCCCCCCCCTCGTATCTCCGAAACTACTGGACGGATCCGCAAAATTCAAACGGCGTTCGAAAGGCCTGTCAAATTTGTCGAAGGAAACCAAATTTCATTGACCTCGGGGTCACCGATGACGTCACAGGTCAGGTCAAAGATGAAATGTTTCACCGTTCACGGGTCTTCTAGGGAATGCGCTATAACACCGAGGAAAACGCATTTTGTCGAGAATCAGCGGTAGGGCGTCAGTTGCCTAGTAGATATGTTGCTATTAGAGGTCACTGGCAATACCAGGTCAGGTCACGGGTCAGGTCACCAAGGGTCACAGGTCAGGTCACATGAGCCCAACTTTACTAAGGTTGTGTGATACATGTTTTATGGCCAATTTTTCATTTCCAACTCAATGGTGTTGGCTATAAGACTATCAGGTACGGCTTAGGTCACTTTCTGGTGAAGTTCAGGTCAAGGTCAGGCCAAAAAAGGTCAAATTTTAAAGTTGATATTTTTGCATAAATTGGGTATTGATTCGATGCAGCTCGTCACGGGAAGTCTAATGGTGGTCTTTGTTTTGCGCTACGGGGTCTAGAATTGCTAAAAATTGAGTTTGAAAATTTGACGTCATCAATTTTGAACAGTTTTTTCGCTATAACTTCGCCAAAAAAGGAGGTATCAATCTCAAATTTGGTATGTGGATGGAAGGCGGTAAGGACTATCACATATATTCCGGTTTTTGCGAAATTCAAAAAACTTTTTGGATTTTTCGATTAGTATATCCAAAAATCTATTTTTTGATTTTTGGGGGTCAAAATCCAAAAATTTCAAAAATCCGAGATAGAAGTTTTGTAGCCCTGTCCAATCTACAGCTTTTATGTCTTTATCATTTTTCTGTATTTGCAAAGCTATAGGCCTGACAGCTCTTCCCGCGAAACCCTTTTTTGGGTCGAAAACGGCAGAACATGACGTCACTCTGACGTCATTTCCGGCCAACCTATCATAGCCTTTGGAAAAATTTTTGGTCACAATGTGTAAAATTGATGTCCGGGAGGGTACTGAAAGTTTGGTGACGATCGGCGCAGCGGTTCTGGAGATATATCGAAAAGTCTGGAGGGGGGGGCAAAAAATAGCCCCCCCCCCACCAGGGCGCGGGTTAAGATGAAGTGCCCATGTTTCTCTGTACCATGAAATACCTGACTCAGAATGTGAATTGAGAATGTGACCTAACCTGAGAAAGTGAATTGTGGAATGTGGGTGCCCCAACCTTTTGCATTCTGTACAAAAATTTATGTAACGACCAACAAGCATATGCGCGGGAGCCAGGGGCAGTGGGGGCAGCTTGCCCCCCCCCCAACTCTGGGGCTGTGGGCCGTGGGGGCGGTGCCCCCACAACTTTAAGATGGAATATCACTTTTTTGCAAATGTTTTCTTTTTTGCTGAATAAAGCAAGGGGATGAAAAATAAGTGGCCTAAAACCGGTGAGAAAACTAGATTTGGGGGTACCTTAGGGTGATCTCTATTATGGTGTGCCCCCCCCCCCCACCTGAAAGAAGTTCCCGCACCCCTGCCAATGAAAATGCAAAAAATGCGAGTAAATGACGACGTAATAATGACGTGACGGGGGTGAGTCGATCTGGAGCTGATAATGTTACTTTTTATATGACGTGTATAACGCATGTGTAGTTGTAAATGTATTTCGCTTTGCGTATACTCATTTCCGGAATGTGAACGTCGGCGTGACGCTTTCGTATGGCTCTTGATGGCTCATCATAGTGACTACATTTGTGATCAATTGTTAAGAGTACACGTTATTCATTTCTGCTCTTTTCTTCACCACTCACTAACATACTTGTACGACCCCTCCCCCCCCCCACAAGCATCTAGTCGTAATAGACGACTAGATGCTTGTGGTCTAGTGATCGATAGATGACAGGGATGAATCAATGTGTAAATTGTGGACACATGTACTATATTTATATGAAAGGGTACCTTATGAACATTTCTACTGTAAGATGGTTGTCTATTTTGCGCGAAAATTTACCAATGTGAGACTTTCTAACTTAGCTGTTATCGACATATTCTGGCGCTGTTGTGACTAAATGATTTAATTTGCAATTCTGAACTGAAGAAGGACAGTGTTCGAAATATATTCATTTTGTAATTAATTTTGGAACCTTTTGCATTTCGCAATCATCGAACATAAGGTTATATTTGAAAACATAAAATGCAAAAAAGTCAAACTTCTCGTTCTCCTTACCATTACAAAGCCATCACTCATACAACCACAGTGATAGCGGCACCAAGATCACCAATACCCAAAAACGAATATTGATATTGACTGTTGATGAAGCATCGTAACAGTACGATCTGGTACGAATTACGATCCAGTTACGATCGACCGCTGCATCAACCAATGGAGCCATATAATTGGAATGGATCACAACGCAATTAACCTAAGACAGTAAAATGTAAATACACCATTATCAAATAAATCGAAACTTACCGCCCAGCCTTTTTTCATTCAAACTGGTATATAGTGCCTTCTTGATTAAAACTAATATTAAATGAGAACTAGCACTTGGTTTTTTGGTTGTTTTTTAATATAATTCAATAAGTTGACATTCAAATGTTCAAAGGCGACTTGAGTATTTGTAAGTAACGCGCCATAAATGACAACAATAAAAAGAAATGCTACATGTAAATCATTTTTGTTTCAATCGCACATTATCACAGCGTCAGAGTGAGGCGACAGCCAACACATTCTGCTGTGTTGAGTGTTGACTGTTGTGTAATTTATTACAGTAGCGGCGGAACACCTTCAATTAAGGGGGGACACTGCCGACTTTTGGTCCCATTCCTTCCATGCAACGCTCAAAGGGCTCTTAAAATGCCAAAATCAAAGGGGGGCACGGTGCCCCGGTGCCCTATAGAAGCTACACGATGCAAGGGGAGGGAGTGGAGAAAGGACATTAACGAAAGGGAGCCAGAAAGGACTGAAGCCAGCGCGGGTGCAGAAGGCATCTCCGATTGGACAACCATGGACCAGACAGCCACTTCGGCCCAAAAGATCACGATTATTGAACACAAGACGAAGGGGTGTTTTTCTCTCATGACGTCAATGAGCTTCTGAGAAGCGGCCAGCAAAGGCCGAAAGGCTAGGCCTCCTGGAACATTAACGAGGAGCCCGCCGTTGGACTATGGACGAGTGATCGGCATTCGGCATGTGATCAAAAGATTCAGTAACACACGTCTCACTATGTCGCGGTATTATCCGTGAGGGGACATTGAATGCAGGCCAATCAGAGTTCATCACCATGTAGATAGCCTTCAAGTCGTAAAACGTAAAACGAAAGCTATATAACGAAAAAAAAACTACTACTTCTGTCTATTACGCTTCTCATCGTGTTGAACATAAGTTAAAGTACACTTATATTATCAAATCACCAATGTAAGCACAGCGCCTTTCAAGAACAAATGTATAAGCGCAGGTCGGCGACCTGCCGCCGGTCGCACTAGCATCCGAAAGGAGGCTCCCGCCAAAGCACGACACACAGAAGTCCTGAGACGCGATCACTTGACGTTGATCGAGTCGAGGAAGGCGCCGCAGCAGCGGAGACACTGCTGGTAGCAGGTCTCGAAGCCCTGGTCGCCGTCATCCTGCAACAGCACAGTCGGATTGTGAAGGGAACTCATAAAAAGCAAAAGCGTTTGTCAAGAAGCCTGAAGCCCTACATAGGCAATGCCTACGAACGTTTAGTAAGCAAAAAAAGTGCTCAATCACATAATCGCTAATGAGCGTTATAAGTTCGGAAAGCATTCCTTTTGAGAAAAGGAGAAAAGGTCATTCAGCTATTCTTACCAGGTACCCGGCAAATGAAACACATTAAAAAATCACAGTTCGATTCACAAGCCAGCTTGTTTTGTACAGCTGAACGATATACATTTCCGAAAGCATTAACTCAATGTCTCGCTAAGCCATCTCAATAACAACTTACGTAGTATGGATCCCTGATGATAAGCGCGCCTTCTGGGTCGTATTTGCCTAGCAGCTCAATTTGAGCTGTCGAGTTGGACGGCGCTAGATCCTTCAGCTCTGAGATGTTACTCTCATCCATTCCGAAAACATAATCAAACTCCCTGAAGTCCGAGGTTCTAACCTGTAACGAGATTCGAGAAAATGAGATACCGACTGCCTGACAAAAAAGGAGAGGTTTGAAAAGCTTCCTTCCCCTACTTTCAGCGGCAGGGTTGAATGGTGTGCTGTACAGGGCTGCGGAGTCGGAGTCCATCGGAGTCGACAGTTCTGACCGGGGTCAGGGTCTGAGTCGATTTTGGAAACCGAAGTCTGAGTCGAAGCCGGAGTCACCGGAAATTAACCCGCGCCCCGTTGGGCTCTGACGAGCAACGCGCCCCGTTGAGGGGGGGGGCCATTTTGGCCCCCCCCCCCTAAGATCTCGAGAACCACGCAACGTAGCGACAAGCGGCAAACGGTGTTGGATAGCCCTATCAGGGAACTACCTTGTGACCCAATTTTATTGACCTAGGTCAAACCGATGACGTCACAGGTCAGGTCAAAGGTCCAATTTTCACCGTTTACAGGCATTTCAAGAAATGCGTTGTAAAATCGAGTAAAATGCATTTCATTCAAAATCATCGATGGGGAAATGTTCTTCAAACACATATTTTGCTAGTTGAGGTCACTGATACCAGGTCAGGTCACTGAGGTCAGGTCACTGGGGGGGTCACAATATGAAAGTGTCGTGTGATACATGTTTTATGGTCCATTTTACATGACAAATGCGATTATGTGGGTCAGGCAGCCTTTGGGGCCAGCTTAGGTCACGTTTTGGTCAAGGTCAGGTCAAGGTCAGGTCAAGGTCAGGTCAAATAAGGTCAAATTTCAAAGTTGATATTTTTGCATAAAATGGGTATCGAATCGATGCAGCTCGTCACGGGGAGTTCAATGGTGGTCTTTGTTTTGCCGTACGAGGTCTAGAATCGCTAAAAATTGAGTTCAAAAATTTGACGTCATCATTTTTGAACAGTTTTTTCGCTATAACTTGGCCAAAAAACGAGATATCGATCTGAAATTTGGTATGTATATAGAAGAACGCAGGGACTATCACATATATTCCGTTTTTTTCGAAATTCGGAAAAAAAAATTTGGATTTTTTTTAGTTTTTCTAAAAAAGTCAATTTTTTGAAATTTTTTGGGTCAAAAACCCAAAATTTTGAAAATCCGAGATAGCAGTTTTGTAGCGCCGCTTTTTGTCTATTAGACCATATAAAGAACTTTGAAATTGCTTGATAACTGTAGATTTGGTGAGCGTTTCAAGGTGACCTAAGACTTGGTGACCTAAGACTTGAAATTTGGTGTGAAGGTGTCAAATTGATGCCCGGAAAGGTACTGAAAATTTGGCGGCGCTGCGCGCCGCCGTTTCCTTGCTATTCAGGAAAAACCACAGGGGGGGGGGCCAAAATGCCCCCCCCCCAACGGGGCGAGGGTTAATAGACTCCGTAGATCTGCCATGGCGGCGGAGTCGGAGTCGGAGTCGGTAGGAGTCGACAGTTCTGCCCGCGGAGTCGGAGTCAGAGTTCAAGTAACGACCCTGCTCGGTATGACATTCCATCTCACAGCCATGAGCCATCTATTCAACAATTTGGGCATGCTTCTAAAAATACCAAATTATTGACTTAATTATGATAGCTATTATCTAGAATAGCAGGAATTGGCTGTCGAATGTCGATAGGGATAAAATCAATATGTTCATCACAGACAAAATGGAATATAAAGACGTTTAAGTCTCCCGAAAAAAAATCCACCGGTTTCAGCTCGGGCTTGCGGGAAAATGTGCCCGCTCCAAGTTCCAACTGATTTCGATCCGGTGTTGCATCATGTTTCTCCCATCCGTGTTCCGGGTTCCAATTTAACCACATCACTTACCACCCTGGCTTTGCAGTTCATGGGCACATTGTGTTTCTTCATGGTGGCCTGTGCGCGACGGTCGGGAGCTCGTCCCACGTGCCAGTCGCCCAGAGCGGCGCTGTCCACGCGCCACTGGTCACGAACTCCCCGCTCCTGCAGCGCCTGCGCAAACACCGCCTCAGCGATCGGCGACCGGCAGATGTTTCCTGGAAAAGATAAAACGCTGGTCAATCTGATCAATACATGACATCAACATACGAAGTAAATAATCTTGATACAGGGTGAGTGATTCCAACACTCTGGTTCAGGTTATGGTCACTTCTGGGACTGAGGCACAAATGGGATGGGAGGGTTTTGGGGATCCTTATCCTTTCAGTGTCCTTCAGTTATGGGATCAAACTGCTCATTCTGATTCATGATATGTACGCTCTATTTGTCCTCTTGTTCATTCATTATATAGTAGCTAAGGGTTGTATTTTTCTTTTCTTTTTGAGTTTGCAGCTACTTCAAGATTCTGAATCTGATCTTTCAACTAGTAGGTAAGGCATTAGGCAAATTTATGTGTTATGCACCAAAATTAAGAAATATGTTTAGTTGAGGTGATTTTATGCCTAGAGTCAGTCGGGGAAACTATGGTAAAATCTGCTATTTTTAGCAGTCTGCTATTTTTAGCAGAAATCTGCTAAAAATGGGTACGCATGTGACGTCATCGTACCCAAATATAGCAGATTTGGGTACGGCCCCATACAAAAGCAGATCTGCACCCTAATTGAAGCAAATGCGCATCAAATGCCTGGCAGATTCATGATGAGAATAGTGCTGAGAGTGATCTCTGCTATTTTTGTTCAGATCCGACTATTTTCAAATTCATTATTTGAAAATAGTCGGATCTGAACAAAAATATCAGAGGACATTCTCAGCACTATTCTAATCATGAATCTGCCAGGCATTTGATGCGCATTTGCTTCAATTAGGGTGCAGATCTGCTTTTGTATGGGGCCGTACCCAAATCTGCTATATTTGGGTACGATGACGTCACATGCGTACCCATTTTTAGCAGATTTCTGCTAAAAATAGCAGACTGCTAAAAATAGCAGATTTTACCATAGTTTCCCCGACTGGAGTCAATGGATTTAAGGAATCATGTACACATATTGTGCAAGGCAGTGCCTTGCACAATATGTGTCCTCCCTGCATACTGTGCCTTGAAGGCACAGTATGCAGGGAGGAACAACGCCACACCCATATTACCTATAGGGGACTCGTAATGTGGACAGACATGCCCACCACTCACCAGCCATGATTCGGATTGTGAACAGTGAATGGATGGTAAAATATAAAAATTTTGATTCACTTACCCAGACAAACAAATAATGCAGATTTCGTCATTTCTCCTTTTAGTTAGGTTATCAGTGAGACAAATGAATTAAGTGAAATTAGTGAGGTGAGAAAGATATCAAGCAAGTCAAAGTAGGTACTGGTAGATGGGTACCAAAACTGTATGAGACTTATGTTCGTATGAAAACAAAATGTGAATCCAGCCGCTTCATAGATGCGATGATGCGATTAGAAATAGTGTAGTAAATTATCTGAGATTATTTCCTTATCAAACCCAGGAGAAATCTCGAGCATCGCTCCTCCTTTCAGGGTATATTGAGTGACCTCCTTTGACACATTTTGTAAGCAGCTCATCACGGTATATGCAGCTCATGAACACTACTTTTCGAATCTTCTGCGGCATATTTGTCGATAGATTAAAAAACGCCTTTGTTTGGCTATGCACCTTGGCTCTTTTTTTAAATTTCAGTGAACTGAGATGATTTTCTTATAGAAATATCTTTAATTCATCAATATGTATTTGTAAACATTATCATTCCTTATTTAAGGAGAACTTTTACCGTTTTCGTAAAAACCGTCGAATACTTTATTGGGCTAAAACGTTTGTCTAAATGTACTAGCCAAGTTTCTAGACAAGGATATCGATCAGCTGTTGTTTGGTGTACAAATGGTGCTGTTGATGTCAGTTATGCACTGCGTTGTCGCTGGGTGGGGAAGGGTGAAGTTGCCGTCTGTGTTGGGGGTGGTGGTTGAGTGTTGCTCGTGGTGATTTGTGATAAAGATGTGTACCTATGTTTGATAAGCGTGTATAGCTGAGGCTATCAGCGAAAATAGAGATCATAGTTCAGTGACAATTAAATCGCTTTTTTCTGTGGTGTGCGATAAAAGCCGAAATTCACCAGCTTCTGACTGCATGACAGCGTGACATAAAGGTAGGTCATGCCACAGTGTTTATAAATAGGTCATGCCATAGGTGTCATCACATTCACGGTTGTAGTGTATTTTTAATTTTTAGAAAATGGTTGTTGCTGAATCATGGAATGTCAGATAATGTCCCTCGTAGTGTCACTTGTTTCATCTCAGTTGGGCAAACTAGGCGGCGGGAATCAAAATATGGAGGCATCAAAATATTGATTCTAGTGGGCGGAGCTTTGACCATATTTGGGCATACGTGCAGACCATCACAGAAACGTCAATTCTTCAGCAACCGGCTATAATTTCAAGATAGTTTCTTCACAAAATGAAGAGCAACGTTGAAGCTACCCGCCAGGCACGAAACAATAGCCCTAACCTCTTTGGTTAGTTTAGGAAAGCGTCTTGAAAATAATCAAGATATTGATTCATCACGGCGGCTTATCCCGGCGAGAATCAATGTTTTGATTCCGCAAACAGCTGGCTAATCATTATTTTGATTCTGAAATCAGCTGGTTTATCAATATATTGATTCTGCGAACTGACTTTCTGCAGACGTACTTCACTCTTCAAATTGATTTATGGAATGTTTCTTGTGTGCAAATAATGCAAATTCAATAAATTCATGAAGATATTATCAGCACAGGATCGTGTAATTTTTTTCTAGACCTTATTCCCACGGTAGACCAGGGATTTTCAGCACTCACCCTGGCTCCCTGCTCAAAGCTGCAAGCCTTCGAGGGAATGCGTGAAGGGAGCCGTGCTGACCTTTGTATAGGGGTTGTACTGAGTCGGAGCCGGAACCGAAGCCCGACCATTTTGCTCGGATCCGGAGCTGGAGCCGATTTTTTCCTCCGGAGCCGAAGCCGTCTGACATTTTCACGGCTCCACACCCCTGCTTTGTAGCATTGATTTTGAGTAAAAAAAAAGTTAACTTATCGTCTTTCACGTGTTCATGATTGTGTTTCTACGCATATGTATCCCGTCCCATTTCTGTGGAGTACAGTAAGAGATATTTCGCCGAACAATATACTCAAGCCCGTTGCACAAATTGCACAATTTGAATGAATATATGATACACGGATGTATTTGCAGTCGCAAATAATACGATTTCATAACACATTTCACAACGATCCCTGCAATTGCCACACATTTGCCATCACAAAGCCCACTCGTTGATGCTCACATCCCATGCAAAGCAATACTCACTTTTAGGACACGTCTCTTATTCAATATGGCTACGTATTTGCAAAACATGCAGTTAATAATATTTGAAACTGAGACCTAACCAATAAGACATACCGTGGACAGGTAAGAAAAAACAAATAAACGTCTGGAGAATGACCTCAACGTCTCGATGTTGCCTAATTACAAAGAGCAATTTTCGGTTTCGAATCAAATACATGAAATAAATATTAACAAAATTTGTACAGATACACTCAATATAGGGTTTATGATTAGCACGGCTACCTAAAACATCAATCCTGTCAGGTTGAGCCACTTATGTCCACACCCAAAGCAGGTCGCTTTGGAACACCACAAGATCCCATATTACCACCGAAAACGGTCACCAATTGGTTTACTGATCAGCATCTTCAGAACATTCTCGACCAAAAAGCTATCAGTCCTGTCTGTGTTTTGGTTCGCTTCATTTGGGCTATGCGCACGTTTTTCTACTCCGGTTCTAGGGACGAGATAGCAGTCATCACGCGCTGCACCAGCTCGTTCTTTGACAGGTTGGTGACGCTGTCGTCATCCGGCAGGATAAACACGTGGCGCATTTCACCCTCGGCCCCGCCAGCCACATACACACTTCCTTACGTCATATTGTTTCTCGCCACGAGATCAAAGTTCAAAAGGTCGTGATGTAGGTAGTCTCGGCCCAGCCCGAGTCAGGTACTCCACCGGGCACCGGTTGGTCGGGTGCGGCCAGGTCCGCGCAACGCCGCCCTACTTCGGTCGACGCTCTGGTTGACAGGGATGGCGTTGTCATACAGTTGCCTGTCGACTGAACAGCGATTCAAGACGCCATCCTTGACCCTCTGAAGCCGATCCCCGCAACAACCAGTGTTTGATCCTTGGTTAACCTGCAGCAAACAACAGAACACAATAATTAGGACATTTGTGGACAATAAATTAGGAAACTATATGTGTTATTATTCTACTTGTTCACCAACTATTAATTTTAGAATATATTCATTAAAAAATTAAATTGTCACTTAAATTTCCACTGAACGCCACCAGGTGTGCCAACAACTGTCATTTCATGCAGTTATAAAAATTCTGCCAAAAAGTAGATGAGGCCAGTTGTACCAACAGAAAAATAGGTGACTGCTGGATTTTTTTGTCTAAAAGTTACTTCACATACAGAGCATGAACGGTACAACCCTATCCGTTTACGTGCCCATCATGTTAGCTCCATGTGAAGCAGTCTTTAGGCAAAAAATTCAAGCAGGCAGCTATTTGTGTTGATAAAACTGGCCTCTAAAATTAACTTTGGCATGGACAATCCTGAAAATTAACTATCCAGCATTCCCTGGACTGACGTAAATTAGCCACATAATTTTCTTGAAGATCACGCATAATGTAAATATAGCTTACACCATTCAGCAACTTGCTTTTGTTACACTTAAAATAAGCGTCATTAAATATGAAGCAAAAATGGGCGAAGCAATTACAAGCCAAGCATACATACCTACTACTTAGATAAGGCAAACACGAACATGCACTACGACCTTTCAATCTTAACTCGGAACAAGTCAATAACCTAGTTTCCCCTAAAAATTTAAATGCTACAAATTAAAGTTGTAGCAACAATTGGGTGAGTGAGACACAAGCAGAGGCTAAAACATCCAAATTATGAAAAATATTGGACAAGCACTGCCCCCAATTCATGAGTCCACCCAACAATTCTATCATGCGAGACAAAACATTAGGCTTCTTGTAACTAATTTATACCGTAACTTTTAAAGGACATCATATTTCACTGAAATACTACACCTAAGACATCATTTTCAAAAAAAATATAGCTTAAAAAGACATTAGAAGAGTGAGAAGGCGTCCCGCGCCGCTGACGTCGCTACCGCGCCACGTACCTAAAACCATCTCTTAAAACGAGTTTTCGGTAAGAAACGTTAAGATCACATGCCTGAAATTGAAAAACACACTTCAAAGTATCTTAAAATATGATCCATTGTTACTTACACTTCAGAAAAGGTCGCTTAAACAAAATAAAACCGGGAGCACTACGTTGCATCCAAACACCCACGACGCCGGCGCGAAATGGCGGGAACCGGAAATCGTGGCTGGATACAAAGAAAAAGAATATTTCTTACAAATGAATTATACAACTATATAACGCATTTTTTATTTTCTTTTAGACAAAATTATGAAAAAATTACAAAGGCTCGTCGTTAATGATAAACAGAGCAAGTTTTAACAGCACGTTTTTGTTGAATTATGGCGGCGAAATCTTTATGCCGTTCGTAAAGGTACGCGCGACAAACGGCTGATAGCCATGCAGCGAAAAATTTAAGCGGGGAAGTTTTTTGTATTGACTTGTCAAAAAATCTCGCCGTCATGGGGGTTATTTCCGCCGTAACGGGTCGTCTGAAGGTGGGAATGTCCCAAATTGAATCAAAATATTGATTCTATGCCCATATATGGTCAAAGCTCCGCCCACTAGAATCAATATTTTGATGCCTCCATATTTTGATTCCAGCCGCCTAGTTTGCCCAACTGATCTGTTTTTGCTGAACATACCTAACCCAATTAAAGCTTGTTTTCCCTGCATGACAAAATTTTGCCTTGGCTGCTCCGGTAGCCAGTTGGACATAATTAGGCTGTTTAGTGTGTCCCTGCTCTCTTGCCACACACAGTTCAAGTTGCTGAAATTAAAGGCACTTTAATTCAACTTGTTGTGAGGGCAGCACTCGTTACGCTTCACATGTCAATGTTGGCTGATGTAGATGCTCGCTCAAATATTCTGGCTTAAGAAAGAATACAGGGAATAGCCGCAGCCCACAAAGCTGGAGAAAGGGCTGCAAAACAAACCATATGTAGAGAGATTATCAGAAATCAAGCCAATCACACCTCACCGTGGAGGAAAGACTGGGACGAGGGAACCTGATTGAGACTCAAGATTCTCTCGGGGTATACCAAGATTGGCTCAAGGGATCTCTTTTCCAGACATAATCAGGGCTGCAGAGTCAATGGATTTTCAGTGACTGACTCCAACTCCAGCTTTCAAAAACCAACTCTGACTGAGCAGAGAACTTACAACTCTGATCAACACCAGCCGACTCTGACTCCACAGCCCATGACCTAATGACATTTTGACAAGAGGGCATGCCAGAAACTAAAGAAAAACAGCTAGAGTGTTGCCAGGTCAAAGTTCTTCTCCAACAGAGTGGTCAGCACATGGAACCAAACAGATGTTGTCCTCTCTTTTGCATCCTGTATAGACACTTTGGGAAGTATGCAGCATCTCCAGGATCTGTTCCAGCAGGTATGCCTGCTGCCATTCTCCCACCTGCTCATTGTTGGAGATTTTAACTTCCCACACATTGACTGGGAATCGGAGACAGCACCAGCGCAGCACATTTCACACTCTTTTCTGGACCTGATACACGACTGCCTCCTCTTCCAGCACATTAAGCACCCAACTCGATATCGATTGGGAGAGACCCCATCTGTCCTAGACCTAGTCTTTACCAATGAGGAGGGCATGGTTACAAACCTCCAGTACCAGCCTGCGCTGGGAAGTAGTGATCACCTGGTCATCCGGTTCACCCTTTCCTGTTACACAGATACTGTCACTTCGCTCCCCCAGTGTCACACTGTCACTGATTACGAACAACTATCTGCTGTGCTAGGCTCCCGTAACTGGTCGGAGCTAAATAGCATGAACCTGGACGACGCATATGCAACCTTCAAGGCATGGTTGTCCGAGGCTATGGCACAGGCTTCCACAAGGAAAAAGATGCGGCCCAGGAAAAACATTTATATGGACCGCAGAGCT